CTGGCGAGAGTTAGGCAGGCGTCCCGCGGATACCCTTCGGTTCGCCTTAGGGAAAAGTGGGGGCGTCACAGTTGGTATCAGGGCATAGGCTTTAGATCTTGTAGTGTATCCTAGGCTTAAAGTTTAGGATGCCTGACTGTGGGATTAATTTGAATATTATGTGAACTAGAGGATCTATTGTATCCTACGGGTTAAAGAAATTGGTTACTTGAGAGTTTCTTACTTGGGACTTGTAGAAATAAAAATTGAGGAATTAGCTGATGTTATATTGAAGGAAAATATGGGATAGAGATTAGTAGTGAAAGATTAGACGAATTTGAATTATTATTATACTTGTAAGTGTGGAAAGAAGTGAGGCAATTATTAGTGCTGGCTAGAGAGGATAAGAGACCGAGATTTGATGGTCAAACTTCATGTATCATGATTGTGAACCCAGATGAAAGAGTTTCAAAGGAATAAAATGCATTTTCCTGCTCATTTACCTCCTAGAGAATCTATGCTTTGAAATTCTAAAAGAAAAATGAGGATGTACTAGTTTTATTTTCAAACGATGTTTGGAAATAATATATATATGCTTTAAGTATGTGTAATTCTTCGATTTTGGTAAATATGTGAATTTTACTTGAATTTCAGTTTAAAATTTGTGAATAACTGATGAGTTGTTGAAATTTTGTATGTGATGGGTAGATATAAGGTTAAAATTTTCTAAACTAGATTTTCCCCCTTGATTGTATACTGGTGTATTCTCACACTTGAATTCGTCTATGCTTTACAAAAAAATAAATAAATAATAATAATAATAAAAATATCTTGAGTTTTCGGAAGAACGGCGAACTTATATTTTTATAATGAAAATCTTGAACTTGATAAGATTTTTGTTACTTTAAATACTCTTCTTATGTTTTAAAATTCTTGATTTTCAAGAAGGGTGAGCCTATCTTTAAGTGTACGGATTGAGGGAACTTTGAGATATAGAGTAACCGCATTCAAGAACACGCAGTTAGTGTGAATTGACTTGGTTTCCATTTGACACGTAAGTTAGCAAGTTATACTTATTTCTTGGGTTTGAACTTGGAGCTTGAGGCTTTAACTATAAAACCCTAAGACTAGTTATTCTTGGAGATGATGGTGCTCTGGTTGGTGGCTTGCTTATTAAAGATTTTGAATTTTGAATGGATAACCTTTGGTTTCCGCTTGTGTTATGGTTTGATTGGATCTAATTTCGTAAAGGCATGTGATCTGATTGGAATTAGTGATATTCGGACCCATTGATTTAATTAAGGACTTAGGAAGGATGGTGCACGCCGTGAGACATTTTGTATCCCGCTTGCATAGATTTCTGCATTTTGTGACCCTTAATTGCCTATATACAATATTTGACATATTGGGCTTGTTTTGTAACTTCTTAACTCGTACTATAACCTTCGATGCATGTAAAGAATCATGTCTTGATTCTAAATATTTTTGCAACTTGTATATGCATTAAGTTCTTTTATGATTAATTATTCCTTTTCTTGCGCTTATAGACTCCTATTAAGTATGGTAGCAGGAATAGGAAAAAGGGGTCGTGATCGAGGGCTTAGACAACCCTGTACTCGTGAGAAAAATTGATGGATAGTCTTATATAATTTAATGAGATCCTAGTACTGAATATGAATCGAGAATAAACCAAAAGATTAGATCTACCAGTGTATAATGGATTAACCTAGTTGGGAACTTAGTGAGATTTTCCTGTGTGAAATTTTAATAGTTGCTTTATACGTATATTATGATTGGTCCTGTGGCCATATTTCAACTTTTGTGAAAGTTTGAACTTCAAAAGTATTTCGTGGGTTCGGTGAGATGACTTGAACTCATTACCAATTTGTTCTACTTGAACAAAAGCGCTTTCAATTTTACTTGACTAATACTATACCCAAATTCACTTGTTTTACTTTTCACAAAATTTATATATATATATATATATGTATACACATTTTGAACTCGTTTGAGACTCGAAATCAGATAGAGTTCAAGTTCGAATCTTTCTTAGGAACATGAATGCCTATTTGTTATGAATCAGAGATTAGAAATGATCGGGTTTTATGTACCAGTAGAGTTAACTCTTGGTTGGATAAAAGGGTGGTAAAGGTATTGGATCATAGGTTATGCGAATATGAACCTACATGTTTACCTATCTTTCTTAAAGGTATTTTCTAAAATATACGCCTTACTAGAACATAGATTTAACTCGAAATTTTGAGGAAAAGTGTTGGAACACCCTCCATGTATATGTTATGATTATTATGTATATGTTTTAAAAATCATGCATTAAGTTGCATGATTAATATTCTTAAATCTATTTGAGAGATTTTAAATATGTATTGATGATTGTGGTTAAACATTATTTGAAATCTCTTACTAAGAAAATTTAGTTTTGGATCGTGAAGAAAATTTGTATCTTTAACTCTAATTTTTAAAATTTTGAATCGCATTTTGCCACAGATACATTCAAAATACATCAAAAGTCTTGACCTTACCTTGTAAGTCATGATTGGTTTGATTTAGACAAAATTTTGAGGAAAAGGATTTTGGTCCTGCTAGTGCGTAACAGTTTTTTTTGTTAAGATTTGGAACTTGTTTCATATGGCGTGTAATTTATGGTTTCACTACACACGGGAGTAAGACTTTAGAATGGAAGTACATATCATTATACCAAGAGGTATTACTTTAGTCGTGTGTGTGGATTTTCTTAAGTATCATTCGAGGAGAGGGAAGAGTAAATATACCTGGATGACTTAGATGCGTGAGAATTTACAGGTTGTGGATAGTTGAGTTTCAAATTCTGATTTGCTACTTATTTAGATGCTTGAGCTGTTGATAGGCTAACAGTCAGGATTAAGAAAATGGATGAATGAAAAGTTTGGAAGAGATGCGTATAGAAATAGAAGTTCTTTACAAGGAGTTGGAATTCCAAACTAAATTGGCTGAATTCTGGGAAGAAAAAAAAAAAAGGTCGAGAACTTAGGGTTGAAGATGGGATCCAATGTTTGATCGCCAACTTGAGATATTAAAAATTGTGAGATTTGGGTGAGTGAAAGGAAATATTTGATGGCTTGAATGAGCCTAACGATTAAGGACCAGATGTTATATTTGGAATGGACGTTTGAGACTATATATACATAGATTATTGAGATTTGAACGATGAGACTATTAAGAACAAATACTCCATAGCCTCACATAAACGAGAATTATAATTAAGGGTTAAGAGCAGCAAATAAGGGATTTAAAGTAGAGTTACTACCAACCGGGAATCTTAGAAACTGATGTGCTTAACCACTTCCAATTCAAGATGGGGATGCTTGAATTTTCAGTTATGCCAATTGGGTTGACTAATGTATTAGCAGCAATTATTGCATTAATGCATCAAGGTTTTAAATCGTAATAGGATTAATCTGTGATGGCATTTATTGATGATGTATTGATATACCCTAAAGTTTGAGAAGATTATGAAAAAAAATAATAATAATATCTGATGGTAGTTTTACAAATCCCGAGAGAACGCTAACTTTTGTTAAGTCCAATAAATGTGAGTTTGATGGGAAGAAATAACCTTTCTAAGTTATATAATATCTAAGGAAGAAATTGTTGTTAACTCAGCTTAAGTGGAAGCTGTTAAGAGGAAATGGCTAGAAAATCCTACCGAAATTTGGAGTTCTTAGAGGTAGTCGAATATTACCTTGGTTTGATCAGGGACTTCTAAGGATACGAGACTTGGCAAATTATTTGAGAATCTAAATGTGATGAAGAATTTGAAGGTGAAAATCGTTTAACCAGTGCACTTGTGTTGGCTTTACAGAGCGGATGAGGTGATTTTGTGATTTATACAGATGATTCAAAGGATGGTTTAGAATGTATATTAATAATATATGATGAGGTGATTGTATATGCCTTCTGAAAGTTAAAATCTCCCGGAAGAAAGTAATCAACTCATGATTTGGAGTGAGTTGGAAAATGTAAGTCAATGATTGATCTGATAGGCTTAACCATGAAGGGAATGATATTGTTCTAAGTATGAATTTCGAGGACGAAATTCCTTTCAAGGAGAGGAGGATGTGAGAACCCGAAAATTTTCTTATTTTTATAGAATATTACTGGAATATTTAAATGATTATTCACTCAATTTTTTCAAATTATTTATTTCGACCATTTTAAATCCATTTATATGGAACGATGCCTCTTTATATTTTAAAACCGTTTTGTAGAAAAATTTGCTTTTCGAAAATTTGTTTAGTTCGGAACGACGGGTGCACGTTTTTCTAGGCTATACTTGAATTGGGAGTGTATTAATATTGGAGAATTAAGAACGATCAATAATAGATTAAGAAAGGTTAATTGAGGAATTAATACTCAATTCACGTGAATACTCGTAAAATTATTATTTTTAAAACCCCTAATTTTGGCTCAATTAATTATTTATTTGGATTTTTGCCACGAATAATATTTTCTAACCTTATTATACCTAAGTACATGGTTTTATAGTTTCGTTATATTTTTAAAGTGTCTCGTTTCAAAAATTATTTTCTTATAAGCTTGTTTAGTGAAAAGGTGAACGTGTCCAAACACTTTAGCCAATTGGCAATACAATAAGCTCGAAAATTTGAGACATATACAATGGTCCTAAAATAGGTAAATTTAGGTTTAAATACTCAAGTGATAGTTAGTGGTACGATCGTTATAAGAATTTCTCGAAGGTTTCATTTTATTGCGCCTAAATTGGAAATACGTGTTTTCACGTGCGCGCTTAATTGAGGGACTTTGGACCATTATTTTGGGACAATTAAAAATGAATAATATTTATATGAATGTAAGTGCCCTAGAGGTTTAGTGCACTAGTGCAACAAACTTAAGAGGAATCGAGCACAAAACGCGCGCGTATACGCACCTTTTGCGGTTGATTTTTGTGCCCTTAAAATATTAGATGTCAAACTTTATTTGTACGCAAAGAAATCAGATCAAAACATCCCTCTTTTCCTCTCATTCTGGCCGAGCAACAGCTGAAGCAAAACACCTGCAAATTTTGCAAATTTCACCTCCAAATCTTGCTCAAACCTACACCAAATTCAACCAAAATTTAACTACACTTAACTCAACACTTGGGAAGTCCATCTAGCTGCAAAAGAAAGGAGCTCTCCACGGTTTTCTTCAGGCTTCAAAGGGCCAAAAATTCTGACTTGACCAACCATCAAAGTAGGTAATGATCCAATACCTTAAACTTGTCCTATGGAGGTTAAATTATACATATGAGCTTGAATCTTCACATGGGTAGCTAGTATTGTTGGAAAATTTTGATGGTGGGCTCTATGAACTCCCACCTCTGTGTTGATGGCTGATTTCATGCTTGATGATGTCTATAATGTTAGATTAGTGCTTAAACTAGTGGATTATTGGTGGAAAATTGATGGAAACTCATGACGGGTGCAAAGGCCAAATCTGACCATTTTGCCCCTGTTTTGTTCGGCCACTTTAATGCAGAAATTTGAGGATTTAATGGCTTGATTGGGTTGTTTACATGTTGTAGTAGTTGTATAAAAATTTTCATTGAAAAATATTGAGTTTTGGTTGGTCAAATGAATTTATTTTCCAAAGCTAGTAATCTGGAAACTGTTTTCGTAATGACCAAACCAGTGTTCGTATTTCGGCCCTAACTTTGTCCTCCGATGTCGAAATCAAATGCCGTTGGTGGAATTTGAAACTAGACATCCACACCTTTCCAACGGTGTAAAATTCACATTCTGGTTCCATGTGTGTGAGCAGAACCACTCTTCTGAATTCAGCTGTTCTGTTTCTCTGTTCCGTTGGAACGATTTGATGATGCTGCAACTTTAGGCTTAATTTCGAGCCAGTTGCATGCTGAATCTTAAAACAATTTCTTCTGTGACATTATATCCCTATGAATCTAGTTTCTAACACTATCAACCATGCTCAAATCCAAGTTAAATTGAGTGAGTTATGATCAAAATACGGTGACTGCCTTGTTCTTGAAAACCTTGGATTTAGACAGATTTGATGTGAGACTTGTTGTGGTCTTACTAAATGAATTTCTTGGTGCTAAACACCTACCAAATGTACCATGAATGTTTCTTAGACTTTTCTTGCACAAATGAACCATGTTTAGAGGTTTTCCTTAGCCGAATGTTTGGAAACGGAGAGAATGGGAGCTAAAGGCAGTTTTGCCTTAGTAATTTCAAAACTTTGGTTGATTGGTTAACCACCTTCCCGAAGGTATTTTTCCACAAAATTTGATAGAGAAATACCATTCATATAGGAGTACTATACTGCAAAATTTGGTACCAATCCAAGTCCGTTTCGACACTTAACTAAAGGTCCAAAGTCGGAAACCCAAATCTGGAAATTGTTCAACAGTCTTGAATTTTTCCCAACTTTGAGCTATCATATCTTGGTTCTCGAAACTCCGATTCTCGATCCACTTATTCTATCCTAAACCTTACTTGCATCTCTAATTGTGTTATAAATTTCAAGGGCTGGTTTGCAACGAGTGAATTCTGCCGAATTTCTAAAGTTAACGAAAAACCAACCCCGGCTCAATCCTGGGTGATCCGGAACAGCAACTTTAAGCTCATTTTTGAATATCTTCCATTTAGATTCATGGAATGGTGTCTTCTAAGAACTTTTATTACTTTCAAAGACGATTCCAACGGTACCAAGTTTATCAATTTTTGACTAGTAGAAAAGAAGTTATGATTTTTCAAAAATTTTACCAAAAATCGAGAATTCTGGAATTTCAAAAGAAATCCGCGCGGGAAGCATTTTTCTAGAATCCGGCCTTGAATCCGGACAGTTTCTGGCCGGATAGGCGGCCGGATTGTAGTTGGGATTTGAAAAAATGAGGATGGCTATTGCCTCCAATCCGGCCGGATATCCGACCAGATTCCGACCGGATTGTGATGTGGCCAGTCCACTTTCAACTTCGGTCGTTCGTTTTGAGATTTATTCGCGCGTACTCGTTTCCATCCAATGATTTCAGGAATAATAATCTGATATTACTCGAGTCTCGTACCTTTTTACGAATCCAACTTCAAAGAAAAACTCAAACGAAATTTCCAAAATATTTCTAGACCACATTTGTGTTCGATCTCCTCGTCTCCTAGGGACCTATAGTAATGGTCTTCTATTCGATGTTCAGGCACGCACGATGACCTCCAAGAGGACCCTACCGTGGAAGTTTGAACACTCAATCCAACCTGCTTGCTTGCGTAACTTGGTGAGTGTCAAGTGTGTGTTACTTGAACTCCTGTGAATTGGATACGTGATTACTTGTTATTGGTATCTGAGATTTTGGAAAATAGAGTCGAGTGTGTACTTTATCGCACTCGTTCTCATTCGATCTCATTCGAAATGATTTAACTCATGCTCAACTTGCTTGAATATATCGATTGCTTGGATACATAGATTGCTTGTACATATCAATGCTTGATACATGATATGGTATGCTATGGCTGCATACGTCGTTGGAGTGAATCTCCTCGACACACAATTGCACATGGGGACGCCCACATCTCATTGGCCGACCTTGGACTCGAGCCGGCATGGGTTTGGTCGAGAACCTTGGCGAGCCATGAGATATATAAGCTTGACCTAATGAGAGATTTTACTCGGCATACTCGAGTAGTATCGCCACAAACAAATGACAGGCGGGCTCGATACAGGGGTATGTAAGGTGAAAGGGGACAGGTTAAGAGAAGTTCTACGGACAAAACCTACCCGATTGACGGAGTGTCAATTCGTGGAGGTTTTTGATCGTGCAAGTGGAATATAGCTCCTGAGAGCTCCTATATCCTTGAATTGTTTTCGTTTACTTTCCGATAAATTGTTAATTATTGAAATATATTATTGCTTGGTTTGTAATTGGGATTGTTACTTGAACTACGTGCTTGCATGTGTGTCCTTGGCCTCACGACCGTTTTACTCACCCCGTAGATTTGTTTTCCTTAACAGGGTGGAACTCGGAGGTGTACTCGAAAACCTTCCTGATGGGCTTTTGTTTAGGATTTCCATTACTTTTGGCTATGATTTGGTTTTAGGTTGTACTTTTGGATTTGAAATGTAACTCTTTGGGCGATGATATAACTTTTGGGATTCATGATGTACTTTGAACCCCCGACGTACGGGTTGGATTATGAATGAATATTGTTAAGCTTGAACGCTTCTGCATTTACTGTATTTAAGTTATTTACGTGTGTTGTGTAGTTCGATAATAAGCTTGAATGGATTTGCTTGAGTCCTGGCGAGAGCTAGGCAGGCGTCTCGCGGATACCCTTTGGTTCGCCTTAGGGAGAAGTGGGGGCGTCACAAAGAATAATTCTTAAAGATTTCATCCAATTTTCATTGTTATATTTGGTGGGCATTCTTTAATCCAAATGGCATAACTAACTATTCATATTTTCCTTGAGGAGTACTAAAAGCTGTATATTTAATATTATCATGATCTATTTTTATTTGCCAAAAATCACTTTTACAATCAACTTTAGAATATATTTCTTTCTTTTACTTATATTTATGAGAGTTTTTTTTACATGGTAAAAAATATTCATCAAATATGGTATCATTATTTAGCTGCCTATAGTTAACAACTATTCTAGATTTATTTCTTACTATTTCAACATATGATTTCTTACCATAAATGCGGGTGAAGAGTGGGGAGAATTACTTTCTCTTATTAAAGTTATCTCTAATAGTTGTTTCATTTGTTTTTTGAATTCATCTTGATCAATTGGATTATACCTCATAGGTTTAATTTTATTTTCATTTTTAAGTTTTATTTCAGCATAATCTTGGTTTCTATCCCAAAATTTAAGTGGATTCTCTATGTATCATAATCGTAATTTTTCTTTTATATCTTCTAGAGAAGTGGACATGTTTTTTAATTGTAGTTGTTTTAAATATAATTGTCTTTCAAATTTTAACATAGAACTTCCTTTAGGAATTTTTGGATATTTTGTATATTCAATATCATCATGCTGACCCGTGTGAGGATGAAAGGTAATAGGAATTTTGCGAGCATAAGCATGTTTAAGGCGTGAAATTACAATTTAGTGGCCACAAGGAGTTTTAAAATGTATTTGAGATTGTAAAGTATCGAATAAAGTTTCATGAAATAATTGAAGAAAATTATTTTATAAGAGTATATTGAGTCCTGTATCAAAAAGTAAAATGGAGGACATCTAATAAGAAACAAACCAAATAATATTTATGGCTTAGTTATTCCAGAATTTAAAGTAATAGGGTTATTAGAGATATAGATACCTATTCCATCAGACAAATTTTCATGATATTGTGGTGGAAAACACGTGGGTTTACATAAATATGTTACTAACCCTTTATCAATATAGGCTACAAAATATTTAGCTTTATAATCTTCATAAGTTATTCAAATAGGTATATAAAGATTACATTGACTTGTCATTTTCGTTCGATATATATCTTTTTATCATTATATGTAAGAAGAATACCATTAGTGTTTATAGAATAAGGAGATACTGTTTATAAGAAATTAGTTCCTAATATTATTTCAAGAGTCTCATTGAATCCTTCATTTTCAACTAGAAGTCAAATAGGAATTTGATTACCAGCTAATTCTATTTCTATTTCTACAGCCTCTCTTATTTCATGGGTTTCTCCATTAAAAGTAGTATATTGATAAGGATCTTGTAATTGATAAATAAGTAAGTGCTCAACCAATATATGAGATATATAATTTCCATTAGCACCTATATCTATTAAAATATTATAGATTTTCATATTTTTCCCATCCCAATATTTAGATTCTCTTTTATAACTTATTATCTTTCAGCTTGTATTCATATTTGAAAAACGATGAGAACTACTTTTCACCATATTTTCTGTATAGGATAAGTTTAGTAAAAATGTATTAGATTTATCTAGTAGAGATTTTTGGCTTATATCTAAATTGAATATCTCATCTAATTCGATATTAGTAATTTCTAGAGGATATATTCTTCCTACTTTGGAGAATAATTTAGGTAGATCTATGAATTCAATATTTGAAAAATTCTCAGTATAATGAGTATTTGATGAGGCATAAGAAATTATATATATAATAGAATATGTTCTATTTTCATTAAAAATAAATCATTTTTAAAATATTGTATTAAGGAAATTTTTTATTAAAATTTTTATCTTGTATATTATAAGAAATTTTTAGATATATATTAAAAATTTGTTTTGATATTTAAAATTTCTCTAAAAGTACCTAGTGTAACTTCTTCCCTACTCTCTATCCTATTATCAACTATAGCAACATCTATAGGACTATTTAGTCATTCTTTAAATATGGACCTAATAATCATTTGAATAGAACTTATATGAATCCATCCTATAAATTCTCTTATTTTTTTGGTATTTTCATTAATTTATTATAAATATCTTTTTAGTAAGGCTCTATTCTAGCATTTTTTTCTTTGAGACTTATTTCATAAAACATATGGTAACTTTTTAGATAAAATTTTATCTTTTTTAATGTAGGGACATTGAATCCACTATAAGAGTTTATTGAAAAATTACTTTTTTGAATTTTTGCTAATATTTTTCTATTTATAAGTGCCGTCTCACTATATTCACCTAACTTTTTTTCGAATGAATATCTATTATTTGAGAAGAATTACTTTTCTCTTTTTGAAAATACATCCAAGCAAGGTTTTCAGACATATGAAGGAAATGGAGCATTTTCTTCAATAACGATCAACAATGCAAGAAAAACCCTAGAGTAGCAATGAATTTTTTAAATTGAAAAATATGTTTACTTGACAACTGTCAAATCAAGTCAAACAATAAAACTATCAAGACTCTATGCAGGATGAGACAATATAAAAACAATACATGTCTGATTTGCACTAAGGAGAAAAAAAACAAGGAGATCTTATCAAACAGTCAAAGTATGGAATAAAACGTAAGCATTGACATTAGAATACACTCCCAGAATCTAAAATATTTTGTTAAAGTCCGTGGAATTCAAGCAAGTTAAAGTCTCTGGAAAATATCACTTAAAGTTCACAGCCTTTATAAATAGGGAGACTGCTTATGAAAAAAGGCATTGGACCAATGAAATAGCCAATTTGTCTTAAAATAGATCTCTCATGTACAGTTAAGAAAAAAGAGAATAGTGTGTAGTATCCTATCTTGTACTACAATTTTCTTATTAATGAAAGAAAAAAGTTTTTCATTGCTTTCATTTCTTTACATCTGAGTATGCTTAGATGTAGGAAACAAAACTAAAATGTACTACTAAGCTCTGAAACGGCAGAGACAGTCACCCTGATGGTTGGATGCTGCAATGCTCAAGTAAGAAGTCATTGGAGAAGTAGTAGGAGTTTTGTCGATCAAAAATCATAGCTGAGATATGAATGTATGATGGACCATTTTCTGTCACTAATAAGAAATTGTTAGTCTAGGTATGGTATACACTCAATTCTCTTGAAAATTGATGGAAGATATGTCAAACTTATATAGTAATTTATCAATAAATATAACATATCCTGAATACATTTTACGGAGAAAAATAACTGTTACATCAAGATTTATAAATAAAAATATCTTGTTAGCCAATCCAAACTTAAATTTTGACTTAAATTTGGGCACCGAAATAGTGGTATTGCAAGAAAAACAAAAGTCGAAAAAGAATTGTCAAACAGATGGGAAGTAGAAAGCCACTAAAAGAGATTAAAATTAATTAGGAAACAAGAACTGAACCAAAAAAAGGAAATTCTACTTAATAGATGAAAACATTATGAATGAGAATGACAACCAAAAGGGCAAAAAAAATAAAGGAAAGATTGCTGAATAGCAGAACCTCAAGTTGTCTTTGGTCCAGTTGGTGGCGCCAACCTGAATGGGGCTCCCATTTCCTAATGAGAGCCCTAATGTGAGACTGTCGAGATGCTGGAAGCCCTTTGATAGTTCCCCAGCTTAAGGAGGTTGTGTTCCTTCACTCCCTTTAGCTTATTTTCCTTCTTAAAACAAAAACCAAGGAGGTTTTCATTAATAAGTTAAAATGTGGGTTAAATTTGATAATCTGTTTGTTATTGATCCCATTGGAAAAGCTGGTGGTCTAACATTTTTTGGAAAACTGTGCTAAAAATTGATAAAATCCTTTACATTGATTTCACTATTGAATTGCTGATTGATGATTCTGATAACAAGAGGAAATGGTGGTGGTCGTGATGGTGGTCGGGTGTGTGTGTGTTTATGCTAACTCTGATGACACCATAAGAAGGATCCGGTGGGATATCATGACTCAAAGGAAGCTAAGCTGGGGTAATAATTGGATCATTCTGGGTGACATAAATGACATATGGGTATGTTTGAATATTTCATTTTTTCAAATAATATTTTACTTGCATTATAAACATATTTTCCAACCCACCTTTTTATTTTTTCAATTACCTTTTAATTTCACATACATTACATTACAAAAAATGCTATAGTAATTATTCCAAATAATATTTCAAATAACACCGGGAGTGTTTGGATAGTGAAATTATCCCAAAAACTATTTCGCTTGCATCATAAACACATTTTCTAATCCACCTTTTTATATTCCCAATCACCTTTTTATCTCACATTTATCACATCATAAAAAGTGCTACAGTAATTATTTCAAATAATATTCTATATAATACTCTATCTACCATTATTTCCAAACTGACCCATTATTTCCAACGAAGAATAAGGGGGAGGGAATTATAGACTTGAGAGCAGTTTCAAAGTCTTTAGGGACTTTCTTAACGAGAATCAGTTGATAGACCTAGGCTTGGAGGGGGTGTCTTGGACTTGGCCCAATAATTGGGGTCCCGAAGGTAGTGTCAAAAAAAGACCGGATAGGATCTTGTGCAGCAAGATTGGAGGGACATGGATATGAATAGGTCACACGTAAACACATTACCAATGAAACCTCGAATCACTGCATTGTCAAGCTTGGCAAAAATCCCACCAAAAGTGGAAAAAAGATTTCAATTTGACAGAAGAATATAGAGAAGTAAATGATGTGATTAGACAAGCCTGGATCCTATCCTACATCGAAAGATCATGGGGTCTTTACTTTGGGTTTAAGGTCCACAAGAATCATGTTCAATTATCAATTGGCTAAATAATGGTTCTT